AGCTAGTTCAAGTTTCAAAACTGCAGTACGTACGTTCTTGAGTTTCAGAGCACACATACACCATCAATATCAATAGAATATGTGTCTTGAGTTCTCAGTACTCTTCCAGCCATAGGGGTATTTTTCTTAATTAAGGAAAACAAAATATTTTTTTATTTTTTAGAGAGAATTTGATTTTGATTAACTTTCTATGTCTAGTTTGATGTAAAAATTAATGACATGTTGTAATCACACAAGGTGAAAGATAGTCCATGAGTATAGTATCTTGACAAAATTTTAAGTATCAATTAAAAATTAATAATACTCCATATTTATGTATTCATTGAAGTATTAAGTATTATGGGGTAAGAATTCATAGTTAGTCAAAGAGAGTAACCTTTTGTCATCAGCAATATAGATTATTTTTCCTTTTTTTCCGGTGAAAAATACTTTACCTAAAAAAAAAATTCAAAACTTGAACCAACCAGTGGAAAATCATAAACCCCCTGCTTTTGCGAAGTTTTAAACAATGTTTCCTATATAAAATCATTTTTAATAATATCATTATGTGCAGCATTTTGTTTTCTTAAACTCTATCTCTCTGTGCCCTCAAATGGTGTAACAGCATAAATGCGAAATGGTTACTTCTTTGGACACGAGTGTTATAATGAGCAAGAATAAAAGCAAATGAGCCTAAGAGCTAGGATGAGCCCATTTGGATTGACTTAAAGGAATGACTTAAAAAAAAAAAGAAGTAGTTTTTCAGCATAAATAACTTTTAAGCCAAAAAATAAGAAGTTGGGGTTGCCCAGCTTATTACTTTTGGCTTATTTTAAGCAGTTTTAAAACTTATTTTAAGCAGTTTTAAAATTTATTTTAAGCACTTTTTGACTTTGTCAAACACTGAAAAAGCTAAAAAAAGTTTAAAAACTGATTTGACCAACTTAAAAGTCAATCCAAACAACCTCTATGTCCCTTTCTCTAGATTAGTGTTACTGTCTAAGATTAATTAGCTTATTAGGTCTCTTCTAGCTAGATTATTAACTAAGATCAAGTGCCTTTGCTAATTTTTAAATTTCATCAACGAAAAGGTTCCGTTTTTACTCTTTTTCGTTGTGACTGAACTTGCAGTCCCACCAATTTGTCACAACGCGACCATAACACCTATTATTTGCTTTGGCTCAACAGACTTCACCGATTTATTTTTTTGAGGTTTACCATTATCGAGTTTAAAAGTGCACGTACCATATTGTGAACTTATACTATAACTTATAAAACTCTTCACTTTCCCTCTTATTCCGATGTGAGATTGCACTTCCTCTTCGAGAGCTTGCCGGTCTAAAAGCTCCAGGCCAAGAATTCCAAATAAAAGACTTGGTGACTACGTTTTGGGTCCAAGTTAATAGAGGGCACGTACTTTACGCGTGAGAATAAGTTGTGGTTGTTACAATAAGGGCACTCGCGCACTCAGTATCAGGCAAAAAGTTGTGAAGTCTCTGATTATTCTGACCCTCCTTCTGCACTACTCTGTCCCAGCTCATCTCCCCTTCTTTGGTTCTAACTTTTTTTTTTTTTTTTTTTTTTTTTTTTTTTTGGTAAGAGGAAAAACTCGCAACCGCCGGCCGCTACAATCTCTGTCACAGCTTTTGTCCTTCGGGTGAGCACTTTGTACGCACTGGGTAAACCTCCCCCTGTGTAATAACCTGCAAACCACACAGGGAATATAAACTGCACTAGACAAACCCCGTGTGACAGGCTCAACCCAGAAGATATTGAGGGGGGAATCGATCCCAGGTCATCCGTATGGATGACCGCCCTCTAAACCAACTGGGCAATCCCGAAGGGTTTTCTTTGATTTTATCCTTACCATGTTTGTTACTGTTTCATTGCTGCAATTTCAGAAGTTGTAATCGTTCTTCTCTATTAATACAATCAAGTGGGTTTCCTGTTTGATATTGTGAGTTTGGAGCATAGCTACTGCTACATCCACCCTCCAACGTGAGCATCACACAATTGATGGTCATGTCGTTTTTGTCCACTTTACTTGGTGGCTTGGTGCATTCCTATGGTTTAAATTCAACTACATTTTAAGAGGACAAAAAAGAAGAAAAGAAAACCTTAATGCTAGACCATTGAAAATTAAGGTCGTCAAGGTATCAACTTAGCAAACTTTTGAACATATATAGCTTTGAGATTTATAAGGAAAATGACAAAATACGTCTCAAAAGTCTGTTAAAGTAATTAAGTGGAATCATGAGATTTAATAATGCTGTCTAATCCACCATGTTTCTTTCCATTTTCTCGCAAGACTTTCAAGGAACTCGTTGTGACTCCAACTATCTCAAATTTAAGGGTATATACGAAACTCAATCGAAACATATATAGTGTCACCTTATTAATCCTAATATCAATTTTGTACTATTCCCACTTACATAAGTGATCAATCAAATAAACAAATAATTGAATAGAGAATAAAAGAGAGCAGGGAAAATGCTTTTCGATATATTATCATCATTTCGGATACACATTTCATTTACAAATAATTGGATCAAATTTCTTTTTTGAAAAAGTATGTTCGTTTGTCCAAAAATATATTTTCAGCTAACCTATTGATTAGTTCGCTCTGCTCTTGCACGAGAAACATTTGGCCAAGAATCGCACCAGTAGTGCATATATTCTCCTCAATTTCTTTTCTGGTTAATATAGGTTTTTTTTAAAAGCAAAAAGTTAGGTTTAGGGCTGTTTAATTTTGTCAAAAGCACTATAAAAAAGGAACAGCCTTCTTATGAAATTTTTGTGACTGTTGGGTTATAGGCACACCCAATTTTTTTTCCTACTTCAAGTAACAACTTCTAATTGAACTAGTTATTCAACTCGTAACTCGTGGACCAATGTTCTGGGATTTATTTATCAAATTTTGGATAATAAATTACCTCAAAATTTATAGGGAAAATCATGATATTATAAAAACTGGACCACATAATTTTTGAAAGGGAATGTACAAAAAATTGGATGTAAATGAAAAGAGTCAAAGATGTCGGTGAAATGAGAAAACGGTTGTCTGAACAGATAAAAAGTCAACAAATTCGGCAACATTGAGTCAACACACGCTGACATGTAAAACACGATCCATAAGTAAACAGAATTGGGATTTTCAAATCAGACCATTTTTCTCATACTGGTGTGTTATTTTTTAGTAACGATAGGTACGTGTTGATTTAACTGGTCTTGAATTGTTAACCAATTAAGGTCTCTTTCTTTGTATTGTGACATCCAAACTTCAATGCCCTTGGACTATGCACTTGAGTGATCAAATCGAACTCAAAAATCGTATCAAATTGAAAACTTGACCTAAATCGATTAAAAAATTTGATTAGATTTAATTTAATTTGGTTTGGTATTGAGTAAAATATTTCGAACCAAATCGACTTATAAATATATAATTTTTAAATATATTTTTAAGACTTTATATAGATTTTCTTTAAAAAATATCTAAAAATATTTGTGAGCCCTCTCATGAGATGTAATATTTAATAGAACTCTGAAATGTATCTATTATTATTTACTTCAAATAATAGGTTGTATCATTACTATCTTATCAAGTATTATTGAAATGCGTCAATCTTTTTGTTCTTCCATATTCATATGTCAAGATCTATTAAACTCTTATATCTTTTTCGAATTTGAAGTGGTATTTTATCGGTAATTTTAATTAAATAAAATATTATTATTTAGGTTTCATATATATAAATTTTTGTGTTTAATTATTAAATTCAGTTAACCTTGAAAGTGTACATCAACAACTAAGAAAATAACTATCATGTGAATAAAAAAAATTCTCCCATAAGAATATTTTAATAGATAATATATATGTTTGTCAGTTTTTTCAATTTTTACTAAACATATATTTATTTATCAAGCTTTATATAACTTTAACAAAGTAAAATTAAAATAATATTCATGTAACAAAAAACCCCCTGAAAAAACTAATAAAATCAAATCAATCCAAACCGATATAGTTGGTTTGATTTGATTTTGGTTAAAACCGAATCAACTCGACTCATGTACGCCCGTAATTATTACTGTCGATGTATATAACTTAAATTCATCCATAGTTTAAAATCTGTACATTGATCATTAGGTTAACTTGACAACAGGTCTTCATAAGAATATGATAGAGTAACCTGAAAAATAAAGTAATAATTTGCTATATACAATTAAATTAAATAGATGGTGTAAAATACACTACTAGTATATATAACTTAAATTTGTCCATAAAAAGTACAACTTGAAATCATGAAAAATAAGATATGTTGTCCGCTTCTTACAATATATCAAAATAAAGTTAAAATAGCACGGGATATCCAGTTTTCGGACTGGTCATTCAAAAATAGCCGGCGTTTGCCAAGTCATTGAAAAATAGTCACTATTTTGCTGCAACAGAGACCGGTCCAACATAATATATTGGAGTTCGGTGCACCTGTGTATGAACTTCCAGCATATTATGTTGGACCGGTATACTTTGTTGGCTCCAGTATAATATACTGGAGTTCCAGCAAAGTATACTGGAATTTCAGTATATTATGCTGGAGTATTTTTTCGGATTATGAACAGTGTTTTCGTTCAAATTTATCTTTACATGAAAAGTGACTAAATTTCGATGACTTTTGATAATTGTGGCTATTTTTCAATAACCACTTGTAAATCTGACTATTTTTGAATTTCTCCCCAAAATAAACTGACAATGTTAAAACTTATTTTATCCCTATCAAAGTATATATGTTAGATTCTTATGAGTAATTATAATATTGGACCAACCAAAATAGATGTAAAGAAAATAAAAGAATAAGGGTAGATAAGCGTGTGATATTGCATTGGATTAATAAAATAACAGTTTTTCAGGTCCAAGATTTTTCCAAACTTATAGTGTGAACTCAATGAGCCAGAAGTCTTTCAATCAAATTTTCATTCTTAAAGCTTTCAAATAGTTCCAAGTCCCCCCACTTCTCAGAAACATCATTCAAACTCTTAGTCCTCCTCTACACATCCCCTTTTTTCCAAACTATGCAAAAATAAACAAGAAAAAAAAATAACAAGTCCTTTTCAGTGCTAAGCTTCTTGAAATTGTTCTGTTTTTTCAACTCCCTTGTAAAACCAACTTGATGTTCCTTTCATTATTTCCTATCTACCCCTTTCTTTAAATCACCCCCTTCTTCAATCTTGCAAAAATAAACAACAAAAAAGGTCCTTTTCATGCTTAATTTTTTGAAGTAGAGGTTTTTTTTTCAACTCCCTGATATAGCCAACTTGATGTTCCTTTCATCATTCTCTATCAACCCCTTTTTATAAAAACCATTCTATTTAGTGACTTTTCTTCTCTTTCAGTCACTGACCAGTGATAACTTTTTGTTCTCTTTTTCTTGAAAACTCAAAACATGGCTGAAAATCCAAAGGATGTAACTTCAGCTAAGTGTTTTTCAGGCATTTTTCAAAGACTACTTTGTGGTGGGAGCCTCCCAACACACCCTTCTGATCAATTTACAAAACCAAATAAAACAGAATTTGATTTTTCTAGTCAAAAATTACCTTTCAAGGCTGATGAAAACATTACTAGTAATAAAGTTACAGCCAATAGTCCAGGAATTGTAGCAAGGCTAATGGGATTAGACTCATTACCTGAAAAAAACAACACTTTTGTTGGTTCATTTCCAAGAAGCAGGTCAGTTAATTCTCTTGATTACTTGATGCAGTTTAATCTAACTGAAAATTTTCATCATAGAAGAGTTAGAACATCCTTGTCTTTTCGCGAAATACCAAATTTTGATCAAGAATTCAAGTCAGAGTTTTTAGTATTTTGCTTCAATGATGAAAAAGAGAAACAGGGCTTTAATATTAGAAAATCCAATAAGGTGGGAAATCAAGAAATGAAGCAAAAGAATGCTGCAGATAGCAGTAGAAAAAATGTTCAGAAAAAAGGGAAGAAGAAAGTTGATGTTGCTAAAACATCATTAAATATGTCTACTGTTGGCCAGAAGAAAGAAGTTTGTGGAAAACAAAATAGGATTGCTAATAAGGTGAAAAAGCAAGTGAAGTTTGAGGATTATCCAAGGAAAATATCTGTTGAATCCCAGGTTAAGGAGAAGAAGAAGAAGAGCAAATGTGTAGTGTCTACTAAAATGCAGCCTTTGTTTAAATCAGCAGATTCAATTCCAATTCATCATCCTCAACAAGTTGCTACCCCAGCAGGTGTGTTTCACAAAGTGACTCCTAATTTTCCTAACTTGTTCCATAGTTTCTGTTTTTTTTTCCTTTTTGAGTATTTTAATGTTTAATTTGACTCCTTCTACCTTTGGATGAAATTTGGTAGAAAAGAAAACCAAGGATGCTTATTTCTTCAAAATAAATAAATATATATATATATTAGAGAGATAAATTTGCTTGACTTAGTCAATCTAAAGTAACTGAAAAGAATTTAAGTAAGGTCTAAAGACTTTTTATAATATTATTTAAACATATATAAGCCTATAACAGGGTATTACTCTGCTTTTTACATTTGCGTATCAGGCTTATAAATTACTCCATGTTATTGAGGATTAACTTTACCTAACTTGCAAATATATTATATATTATCAGTGTATAAAATTTAAAATCAAGCAAATATATGATATACCAAATAGCACCTCAAGAATCACCTTAACTCATTAAGGATAAAAATATAAAAAGAATTTACATTATAGCTGTATAATTTAACCTGTAATTACCTCTATTTTCAAATAATTAGCTCCACTTATTAACATAGATTTTCATTCCAAGTCCATTTGAATAATCAAATATAGATTTAGGTGATTCCAGCTCATAGTTCTTAAATCCCGTTGAATCCATATTGAAATGATATACTATTTCTTTTTAGATTTATGAAATAGACTTGATCCAAGTAACTACTGTAGGTATCTTTTAGTAGATAGCTATCGAAATCACGTGTTCATTCTTTAGTCTTTACCTTGAAATTATTTTACCCAGAGTAAACAGCTATTAATACCTTCTTTTGTATGAAATTCGGCAGGAAATGAAAGGAAAATGCAGCTTAATTCAAGAAAGTCTCGAACAAGAGTCACCAATCCAGAACTTGCAATCACAAGCAAAGTTGAGAAACAAAAGGAGATTAATAAAGAGACAGATTATTACTTAAAGGTACTTGGAGAAATTTGTAGATTAACAGAAGAAGAGTTAAATGAGTCATATCGGGTAGCTACTAGAAATAGTGGAAACTTCAAGTTTGAAGATTTTGAGGATTTATGCCTAAATTTTGGACAAGAAATTCTTGAACTTTTATTAGATCAGGTTGTCCATGAACTTTTATTATTTTAGACAATGACAATTTGTATATGAGTCATACGTACTTATTAAATTATAATATCTAAGTCTCAAATTTTGGCTAGAAAAAATTTAGTTACAAATTCTAATTATTCATGGCTCAGCATCTGGAAAGTTTATAACATGACTGGCTTTAGAGTTGAGATTTATAACTCCTTGTATTATGTTCTGCTGTTATTCATTTTTGTTCTTTCGAAGTTGTTCAACTGATTTGAATGAATTTTCATTCGACTGATTTTGGAGGAATTGGTCCGAAAAAAAGAGAGGAAAATAATGGCCGAAAATAATAGGCATTACACACACCCAATTTTGTTGTAAAATACGTGATGTGTCATGTTACCAATGAGTGTTTATATGCTGTATGCATATCTGTCACCTTTAATTGGGTCTTCAATAGTTCGGACTAGTGGAGGCAAAATAGTTAAAAGAAAATAGTTATCCACTCATATTATTCGTTAAAAAATGGGTTGAATAATGAACTTTTTTAAAAACGGGTCGAATATGGATAAGAACTATATTGTTAACCATATTATTCACTTAGAAAATGGATAACCAATGGATAACTAATGAGTTTAACTTTTACATATGTAAAGCCTCAAATTGAAGGTTGTTCAAGTTTGGGAGACCAGGAATTCTACCAAAATTGATCATATTCAAGAAGACTCCCCGGTTAACTCATTTTTTATCCGTATTAAATATGAGTCTTATAAGATAATTTATCCGTTTTTTTATATTACGCGTTTCGACTCGCCCGCCCGTTTTCCACCCCTAGGTTAGACCATAAAATGCCTAATGAAGCATTAAAAGTTAATGTTAATCACCAAAAACAAAAAAAAGAAACTTTTTTGTTTGACAAGTTTAAGAGCGATCTATATAAATAAAGCAAGTTACACTTTTGGTCTTAGATTTAGTTAATTCTAATTCATCGATTATCACACCAACAACCTTAACAAGTAGAGTACATTTTTGCAACTGAAACTAGGGGTGTACAGGATGGTTGGTTCGGATTTTTCAATTATCAAACCAAATCAATATTTTCGGGTTTTTAAATTTATAAATCAAATCAACAAAGTCGGGTTTTTCAATCTCGAATTTTCTCGGGTTTTTCGGGGTTTTTTTCCGGTAAAGTCTTCATAACATAAAATATGTAACTTGTGCTCCAAATATTTCTTAAGTCCTAGTAAAATACAACTATATAATGTGTTTTCCAAGAAATTAACACAATAATATGAGATAAGTTTTAGCATTATACTAAAATATTCAATAACAAAGATAAAATAATAAAATTACATAAAACAAATATGGCTAATTAATAAGCCATAATAAAAATTAACATAGTTTAAAAATACTATATAGGTCATGCTAAAATAAATATAGCTAATAAGTACTAATATTAATTACATAACTAAGCACTAAAGAAAAAGATAAACTAAGTTATGCATTTTCATTATAAACCAATGTAAAATTAAAATAATTATTCTAACACATCGTCATTCCTAGGATTGAATTGAATTTCTTTTGTTAGCATTAGTATTGATTTGAACTTTGTTTGAGTTACTACATTTATGGACTATAAAATTTATTTACCATTAAAAAATGTTAAGTCTAAACTTGAAATAATACGTTAAAAGATAAAACTGTGAAAAATTTTAAGAAATATTTATAAATTACATTACAATAAATATTTATATGTATATAATATTTTTAAAAATTATATAAATATACTATCGGGTTGGTTTAGTTTCGGTTTGACTTTTTTTAGTTAAAACCAAACCAAATCAATTATGGTCGGATTTTATTTAAACAACATCGAGTTTTTTTTGTTGCGGAAGCCGAATATATAGAGAGTGATAAATCACAACTACTATATCTAAAGGTAGCTAATAAATAGTAAATTAGACAATAATAAAATGAACACCAGAAATTAACGAGGTTCGGCAAAATTTGATTTTTGCCTAGTCCTCGGACACAATCAACTCAAATTTATTTCACTCCAAAAATACAAGTGAAATACTACAAGAGAGAGAAGATTCAAATGCCTTAGGAGATAAGAAGGCAAGTGAGAGATGATTTAAAATGAACAAAATTCTTGCTATTTATAAAAGGAAAATGACCTTAATAATGTCATGCATGACATCATATTAAGTGTGAACATGCAATGTAAATGCATGAAAAATGCATCTACCAATTTCTTCCTAAAAGGAGTCTTCAAATGTTCACACTAGTTCACATTAATCTTGTCAAAATTCAACAAATCTCCACCCTCGCAAGATTCCACTTTTGCAATTTTCTCTTAGTGATAAATTTTGACTGTGTCTTCAACTTCAATCTTCAAAGTTCAACAATGTTGATCAAGTTCAAATAATGTTGAAACTTGATCGCAGTCACTACTTTTGTTAGCATATCGGCAGGGCTGTTTGTAGCCCGAATTTTCTGCACCATGACTCTACCTTCTTCTATAATATCTTGTACAAAGTGATATCGAACATTAATGTGCTTCGTCCTTGCATGATAAACTTGGTTCTTTGCTAATTGGATAGCACTCTGGCTATCACAAAATAGTGTGATGCTTTCTTGACCAATACCAAGATCTCTAAGCAACCCTTGAAGCCAAATTGCCTCCTTTACAGCCTTCGTAATTGCCATGTACTCTGCCTCAGTAGTAGACAAAGCAACCGTTGACTGCATAGTAGACTTCCAACTAACTAGTGCATTTGCAAAAGTGAAAACATAACCGGTAGTTGATCTACGCTTGTCCAAATCACCCGCATAATCCGAGTCACAATATCCAAATATACCGTAGAATCCATTTCATAGCTTGCCAATGCTCCTTTCCTGGATCATGCATATACATGCTTACAACTCCGATAACATGTGAAATATAAGGTCTTGTGCAAACCATTGAATACATCAAGCTACCAACGACATTCACATATGGCACTCTTGACATATACTCTCGTTCGGCTTCATTCTTCGGCGACATAGAAGCACTAAGCTTAAAGTGTGGAGCAAGAAGAGTGCTAACCAACTTCGTGTTCTCATTCATACCAAATCGATCTATTACTCTCTTCAAGTATTCTTTCTGAGATATATAGAGTTTCTTTGAATGTCTATTTTTTTTTATCTCCATGCCAAGAATTTTCTTTGCCTCACCTAAATCCTTTATCTCAAACTCCTTTCTTAGTTGAATCTTCAACTTCTCAATTTCCTCTTGACTTTTGGAAGCTATCAACATATCATCAACGTATAGGAGAAGATATATGAAGGATCCATCTTCAAGCTTGCACAAATACACACATTGATCGTATTTGCTTCTTCTGTACTTCTGCCGCAACATAAACTTGTCAAATTATTTGTACCATTATCTAGAAGATTATTTCAAACCGTACAATGATTTTTCAAGTTTGCACACCATATTTTTCTTTTCAGCAACTTTGAATCCTTCTGGCTGAGTCATATAGATTTTCTCTTCCAAGTCTCCATGTAAAAATACAGTTTTTACATCTAACCGAACTAGTTCCAAATTCAACTGTGCTACCAAAGCCAACAAAACTCTAATGTACGAGTATTTCATGACTGAAGAAAATACCTCATTGTAATCAATTCCCTCCTTTTGAGCGTACCCTTTGTCCACCAATCTTGCTTTGTATCGAACATCTTGTTGGTTAGAAAATTCTTCTTTCTTTGCAAATACCCATTTGCACCCAATTGCTTTCTTGCCCTTCGGGAGATTGGCCAATTTTCATGTGCGATTCTGATGAAGGGACTGCATGTCTTTATTCATGGAAATCCTCTACTTATCTTCTTCTGAACTTTGGACTGCGTCTTTATAAGTGGTAAGAACACCATCAGCTACAGTTGAGGCTGCACAAGCCACCGTCTCTATGAGACGATCAGGTTTCTTTATTGTTCTTTTTGGCTTGCTGGTTGCTATTGATTAAAGTTGTTGTTGGGATTCCTGAGTTGGAATCTTCCCTTCCACTGACTCTTCTTCTAGGGAAAAATCTTCTATCGTTTTCTCGTTTTCTCCCCGTGTTGGAAAAATTAATTTTCCCTCAAACTCCACCTGTTTTGAAGCACCATCAGTTTGTTTGACATCTTCAACTGTCATCTTATCTGTTATGGCAGATTCATCAAAGGTAACATATCTGCTCAATATAATTTTTCTTGTCTCTGGACACCATAATCGGTATCCGTTGACTCCAGAAGTAATCCCCATAAATATAGTTTTCTTTGCCCTCGGATCCAATTTTGACTCTTTCACATGATATTATGCAATTGAGCCAAACACATGCAAAAAATTATAATCTTCAGTAGGTATTCCATACCATTTTCCAAATGGTGTTTTGCCTCCAATAGCGGCATATGGTAGACGATTTATGAGGTGGCATGCATATGTTATTGCCTCAGCCCAAAATTCTTTGCCCAAGCCAGCATTTGACAACATACACCGAACTTTCTCCAGCAAAGTCCGGTTCATGTGTTCTACCACTCCATTCTGTTGTGGTGTATTTCTGACGGTGAAATATCTCAAAATGCCATCATCTTTACAAATATTATTGTAAAGATCATTTTTGTATTCTCCACCGTTATCTGTGCAGAGACACTTTATCTTTCTGCCTGTTTGAGTCTCTATCATCGCCTTCCATTTGAGAAAAATTCTCAATACCTCATCTTTGGTTTTCATAGTATACACCCACACACTTCGGAAAAAGTCATCAATAAATATTACAAAATAGTGTTTCCCACCTAATGAAGGTGTTTTAGAAGTACCCCAAACATCAGAGTGAACATAATCCAAAATACCTTTAGTATTATGGATAACTGTTCTAAATTTAACCCTTGTCTGTTTTCCCTTGACACAATGCTCACAAAACTCCAAATTGCAAGCCTTTACTCCTTTTAACAATCCGTGATCTGATAAAAGTTTCAAAGATTTTCCTCCAGCATGTCCCAAGCGCACGTGCCATAACTTGGTTGCTTTTGGCTCCTTATCATCACTGGATGTCACTGTTGCTGTCCCAATAACTGTACTACCGCGATAGTGGTACTTGTTATTATTTCGTCGAATTCCCTTCATTACCACTAGTGCACCGTAGCATATTCTCATTATCCCATTTTCTACAACGACTTT